ACACTGGGCTACGCCCAAGGATCCTGCGTGACTAAAACTGGCCAAATATTAACAAAATATTTTACTGGCCAAATATTAACAAAAGTGTGCAGTGTTACAGCAGCACTTGTTACACCTGTCAGAAGGTGGCGTTTCCACAAGAACATACTAAAGAGGCCCTGAGACCTTTTCCAATGGTTGATCAGGTTTTCCAGAAGATTTCTATTGATATTCTGGGGCCTTTGCCAAGAACTAAATTTGTTTTGCTGGTGGTCAACCATGCATCCTGTTTTATGGTAGCATTCACACTCAGTTCTATCACTGATTCTGATGTTGCCAAGGCCTTGCTGGAATTCAGCTTGATATTTGGATGGCCTGAAGTTATAGTCTCTGTCCAAGGAATGAACTTCACTTCCAAATTAATGCAGAAGGCTAATTAATAAATTAGCAAGAATTAACACCCTCTGTTTTGTGGCACATCATCAAAGGGAAATGGACTTGTGGAAAGGTAAGTGCAGATTCTGGGCAAGATGTTAAAGGTTTATGCCTTAGAGCACGTGGGAGATTGGGGGGCACTCCCTTATTTAGTGTCAGCCCTCAGAGACACCCTTACAACCAGCCTGGGATGGCACTCCCCTAAGGAGTTAATCTTTGGAAGATGGATTACTGGGCCCTTGCAGTTACTAAAAGCCTCTTAGGAGGGAAGTCAGAGGTCGGAATGCCCTTCCAATACCACAGAATATCTGGCCAAACTAAAACAAACGCTAGAGTTGGTCTGGAAGGTTGCTGGGGAGTTCCTCAAGCAGGCCAAAGCCCAGCAGAGGACCTATTATGATTGGCAAGCGAAGCCTAGAAGCTTTGCCATTAAGGATAAGGTTCTGGTTTTGAACCATGGTCATGTAGCCAAATTGGAGACTTCGTGGGCCAGTCCACATTGTGTATTGCAGAAATTGGGAGAAGGATAATTACATGATTCAAGAAGCGAATCCCCATAAAAAGACTCTGGTTGTTCATATCAACCGCTGGGGAGAGCAGGCCAGATTTTCCCGACAAAGGCTGCAGAAGGGGAGGAATTAAACCTGCTGGAGTTGTTAGATGGAAGTGTGAAAGCTGATGGGCTGGAGCAAGTGCAGACGGCCCCTACTTTATCACAAAAGCAGCAGGATGAATTGAACCAAGTGTTGAGCTGATTTCAACCTCTATTTTCTAATGTGACTGGCCAGACTGACCTAATTGTCCACCACACAGAGGGGCACATGCCCGAGTAAAATCCAACCCTTACCCACTGAATGGGCCCATGAAAGAGACTGTGGCTGCGGAGATTCAACAAATGCTGAAGTGGGGGGAATTCAGGAGTCTCACTCTGATTGGGAAGCACCTGTAGTGATCGTGCCTAAGAAGAAGCTGTCAGAGGACACCCCTACTGAGTATCACTTCTATGTGGATTTCAGGAAGTTGAATAAATTAACAATTGTGGACCCTTACCCTACTCCTAGAATTGAGAGTTTGATTGAGGACTTGGCTGGAACTGCCTACATTAATACTATTGATTTGGCATCAGGATATTGGCAGGTTCCGCTGATCCCCAAAGCTTCTGCCTTTGTGTCACCATTGGGACATTACCAGTCTATTAAGATGCCATTTGGTTTAAATGGGTCTTCTAAGACCTTCCCAAGGCTGATGAATCGAATATTGTAAGGGCTACCTTTTGTTGCCACTTAACAAGATGATATTGCCACCTATAGCTCCACCTGGGCGGAATGTCTGAATGACGTGAAGGGGTTCCTCCAGAGAATTCATCAAGCCGGACTTACGATCAAAGCTTCTAAATGTCAGTTTGGGTGTAATCATGTCGTGTATTTGGGGCATGTGGTGTATTTGGGGCATGTGGTTGGGTCTAATAGCATAAGGCCCCAGGAGGCTAGGGTTGACAGTATCATGGAATGGCCTAGGCCACTTACAAAAAGGGATGTACAATAATTCCTAGGCTTAATAAATTTTATAGAAGATTCTATAAAAAGCAACTTTGATCTGTGTAAAAAAAGGGCCCCAACTAAGGTCTTGTGGACCTGAGTGTCAACAGGCCTTTGATGAGCTAAAGACACATCTAGTACAAGCACCCATCCTGGTGCCTCCGAATTACAAAAAGCTTTTGGTGGTTAGAAACAGTGCTCCAGAAAGGGAATGCTGAAGAACTTTGTCCTATTGGCTATTTGAGCAGGAAGCTCCTGCCCAGGGAGCATGCATTCTGTACTATGTAGAAGGAGGGCTTGGGCCTGATTTGGGCTCTTGGTCAGCTAAAGCCGTATCTCTGTGGTGTGAAGTTTGTGGTGGAGACAGACCATAACCCACTGTCATTCATCCATAGGATGAAGGGAAATAATGCCTGGATCTTAAGGTGGACTTTGAGCTTGCAGGATTTCAGTTTTGAAATCGCTCACATCAGGGGTAGCCAGAATGTCATGGCTGACTGTCTCTTCAAGGAGGAGAGTAAAGTTTCAAAAGGGGATTATCTAATTTGTATGTTGCTCTGCTAATTTCATTCTATGCTGCTATTGAAACCTTCATCTACCTCGCTTATTAGAATTGTAGTTGCTTTGCCTAGATGTGTTAGCTTTGCTCATGGTTGCTCATGAATCTTTGCCTTTTTAGGGGGGCGTGTGAGGCAAAGCACCCCTGGGCTCCCCTGAAGGGTTAATGTGAATAGTAATGGGCCTGGGTCATCCTGCAGGTGTTACTAATTGGTTCCTTGGCCTATATAGTTCTTATTATCTTCAAGACCAGAGATGAAGGTGCTGTGATTGGTTTCTCATGAGCAGTGTTCCCTCTAAGCTGAGTTAGTGTGAGCTAGTTCATAGTTTTTGAGCCTCTGGCTCACACATTTTTGTCTTGGCTCAGGAAGGAGGACTCCAGAGCAAACTAGTTTATCCAGCAGCGAAATCTCTTGCTCACAACTTTAATGCCAGTAGCTCACAAAGTAGAATTTTTGCTCACAAGACCCCACAGCTTAGAGGGAACATTGCTCATGAGAGCCTGCAGCCTGTAGGATGGGAGGAAGAGAGCCAGGAGTGATGAGAAGCCTTCTAGAGGCTTCTCTTAGGAATGTGTTCTGATTGGATGTCAACCTCACCTGATGTTATTGGGCCAAAAACTATAATTCAGCTAAGGCTCTGAAGAAAAGAATCTAGCTGAAATCCTGATGGACTAAAGGCCAAACTATGACTTGCTTGAATGGCAATTGCTTGAATGGCAATGTAGAGAACACCTTTGACTTTGGAATGTAAGGTTTGTGCCGCTTAATGCTAGCCCTAAAAGTGTTAGACAGTTGAGCTAGTTTCTTTGTTTTCTTGCTGCATGATTTTAGAAAACTGAGTTGGCTATAGAATAAACCTTTATATTATTTGAACTTGAAATACTTTATAAATTCTTAAAAAAAATAAAACAAAACAGTGGTCTGGTTACTTGTGTACAACTGCCCTGGGGACCCACGGGGTTCAACACACACACACACACACACACACAAACAGAGAGAGAGAGAGAGAGAGAAGAAGACCAAGTGCAGGGGAGAAGAGGAGTAATTTAAAAATGCACTAGAAATAGGATTTTTAAAAACTTTTTAATTAATTTATTAAATTATAAAGAGACTTCCAGTTTTCTCTGTGGCAAATATACATAAATTTACAAAGTTATCTCTTTATGTTTACAAAAACCCCTCTATTTTTTTCTCTTGTGTAATCTTCAAAGCCACAAGTCACCAGTTAATTTTTTTCTGTTTCGTGCAAGAAATCGATAAGGGCATTCCAGTTAGCAATGAATACAGACATTGTCTTTTCTCTAATCAATGAAGTAAGTTTAGCCATCTCTGCCAATTCCATCATCTTCACCAGCCATTCCTCTGTTGTGGATTAATATCTTTCTTTTGAACTTCTAATCATATAATAATCTTGCAGCTGTTGTCATATACAGAAACAATGTTCCGTGACTTTTTTCTAACTGTCTATCCATTAATACCAAGAGGAAAACCTCTGGTTTCTATTGTATATTAGTCTTTAAGATCTTATTTGTATTCAAAAATGTTTAGCTTTATTACGCGTCCACCATAAATGATAAAATAAATAAATCCAAAATACCTTTATTCTAGCTAATTTATCTGGGGATATATACCAGCAATACATGATTTTATTGAAATTCTCTTTAAGACTAGAACTTAAGGTAATTGTAAGTCCTTTCAAACACATATTTTCCCATTGTTCCATTGGTATATTATAGCCAAAGTTTTTAGCCCATTTTATCTTAGGTTCTCTCATTTGGTTCTTGTTCTGCCTCAAGTTTCAACAATATGCATTTTGGCAATAACATGTTCATAATTTGTACAAAGCTATTTCAAATTTGGCCTTAGATTGTTCAAAACCAAAAGATCTTTTATCTACTTTATAACTTTCTGATAATTGTATATAAGAAAACCATTGGCAACTATATTCTTCTGTTATCAGATCTCTTAATTTCATTTTACATTCCCCTTGAGAAAATTTTACTATGTCACAAAATGTTAACAATTTGTGTTTATCATTTCTTCTCTAAAGAGTGCTTCCTGTGCTGACAGCCACAAAGGTGTTTTCAGGCACAAACTCAATTTGCATTTATTCCATATTCTCAAAATGGCATGCCTAACATAATGATTTTTTAAATCTGCATTCACCTTAACTGTGTTGTACCGCTAACAGGCATGCCATCCAAATCTCAAATTGTGTCCTAATATTCTTCTGTTTCTCAGTAGTACACATTCTTTCATTCAAACTAAACAGCAAGAAGCAAAATATAATCTCATGTCAGGTAGACCCAATCCTCCTCTTTGCATCCTGTAATACCTTATATTCAACTCATGGCTTTCCCCCCTGCCTTACTGTGAGGCAAAGCATCTTCCCTAGCCTTCTTCCAAGTGGGTTAATATGAATGGTGATGGGCCTGAGCTGCCTTGCAGGTGTTATTAATTGGTCTTTTGGCTTGCATGTTTCTTCAAGGCCAAAGATGGAAGCCTAGCAATTAACTTCTCATGGAAACTTCTGATCTGTGATAGGAGGGGAGAGATTGGAAATGGTGAGGTAATCTTCTAGAGGTTTCTCTTGGAGACATGTTCTTATTGGATGTCATCATCGCCTGACGTGCTGGGCCAAAAAACTATAACTGACCAGAGACTAACTGAGATTTTCATGAATTGTCGGCCAAGACTATGATTTACAATTGCTAGAAATGTAGATAATACTGCTTTGAGGTCTTTGTATCAAAATTAAGGTTTGTGCCACCAAACACAGTTCTTGTGAGTGTTAGATAGTTGAAGCTAGCTTTGTTGTTTTTTGTTCTGTATGATTTCAGAATAATGTGTTGGCAATAATTTTCTCTTTATTAATATCTCATAAATAAACAATAAACAACAGTCTGGTTCTTGTGTAAACTTGCCCTGGTAACCCACAGGGTTAGCCTTTGGATTTCCTGACACATACAAATTTAGATATATCTTTCTGCCATTGTTTAAATGGTACTTCCGTTATCAAAATAGGCATTGTCTGAAACAAAAATAACATTCTAGGTAAAACATTCATCTTAATCACAGATATTCTCCCCAACAATGACAGTCACACTTTGTCCCATCTTAGCATGTGTGTCTAACTTCATTCCATGTCTTACCATAATTATTTTGATAAAGCATACAGTCCATATTTTTCAAAGTAATACCCAAATACTTTACCTTCTTTTCACCTTTAAACCCTGTTTTATTCATCAATTCCATTTGCTCTTGTATTATCATATTTTTGTTAACATCTTTGTCTTCTGTTTATTGATCTTAAAACCTGCTAATACACCAAATTCTTTCAATTTAGAAGAAGAAGAAGAGATTGGATTTATACCCCGTCCTTCACTTGGAGTCTCAGAGCGGCTTACAAACTCCTTTCCCTTCCCCTCCCCACAACAGACACCTAATTTAGGCATTAATAATTTAATTCACTTTAAGGGATCGCCCAAGACTATCATCAGATCATCTGCAAAGGCTCTTAAAAGTTTCTTTTTTAATCTTTACACCCTCAGTCTTTTCATCTTGTCTTATATCTCTATTCATTATCTCAAGCACTAGAATAAATAAGAGAGGGGATAATGGGCAACCTTGTTGTGTTCCTTTTTGTATCTCACATGGTTTACTTAAGTTTCTCAATTTTGAGAAATGAAGAATTCGTTAAGAAAATGAAGACAGAGCTGGGTTTTTTCTTTAAGGAGAATAGAAGACCAGAAACATCAATAACGGTTGTATGGGACGCAATGAAGGCGTTTATTCAAGGAAATATGATACAAGAGACATCAAGAATAAATAAACGAAGGAAACAAAAAATATGAAAATTTGCAAAAACAAATACAAAACCAGGAAAATATAATGATGGAAATGACATCAAATGAGAGTGCAGAAAAAAGACTTAAACTATTACACCATCAAATGAGCTGTCTATTAAAAGAAGAACTAGCCAAAAAACTATTTTTTGCAAAACAGAACTTTTTCGAAAATGCTAATAAACCTACCAGCTGGCTGGCAATAAAACTTAGACAACAGAAAGAGAGAACATATATTAAAACATTAAGAAAAGATGATAAAGAGATAAATAGAATGGTGGATATTCAGAAAGCAATAGAAAACATTTACGGAGTCTTATACAAAAATGGAGCGTGAACATAGAACACATAAAAGATTATTTGAAGATACATCAATTGGAAAAATTCACTGAGGATCAAAAAGAAATATTAAACCAACCAATATCTAAGATGTAAGTTATTGAAGCAATAAAGAAACAAAAAAAGGGATAGCTCTGGGTCCGGACAGATTACCTATAGAGATTTATCATATCTTCAAAGAGCAAATAATAATAACCTTGGACGATATATGTAAAATAGCGAGAAAAGAAGGGAAGATTCCGGATACCTGGAAAGAGGCAATTATTTCTTTGATACTTAAACAAAACCAGGATGAAAAATAGATTAAAAATTATAGGCCAATATCTTTGTTGAATGTGGACTATAAAATATATGCATCAATATTAGCTCAAAGACTTAAAAATGTCTTAATGAAAGTGATCCATCTCGACCAAGTGGGATTCTTACCTAAAAGACAGATGAGAAATAACCTCAGATGCCTAATGAATATCCTTGAATATTATGAAATACATCATGGTAAACAATTAGCTCTGGTATTCTTGGATGCAGAGAAAGCGTTTGACAATGTTAATTGGCCAGTCATCACAGAGACACTGAATGGTGGAAGCAGGTGAAAACTTTATTAAGATGATTCAAGCTATATATAACGAACAAAGTAATGGTGAATGGCGAACTGACAAACATTTTTAGGTTCCAAAAGGGGACTAGACAAGGTTGCCCTCTATCTCCTCTTATATTCCTTTTAGCCTTAGAGGTATTAAACAATGTAATAAGAAGGGATAAAGAGATTATTGGACTAAAATTGAAAGGAGAAGAATACAAACTACTAGCTTTTGCTGATGATATTGCATTTATTATGGAACAACCGAAGGAAGTAGCCGTTAAACTAAAAGAAAGGATTCAAGAATATGGACAAGTAGCGGGACTTAAAATAAATGTTAACAAAACTAAGATTCTGACAAAAAATATGGATGTGAAACAAAGAGAAAATCTATATCAAGCTACTGGATTTCAAATTGTTGACAAGGTAAAATACCTTGGGATTACAATTACTAACAAGTGTAGTTCTCTTTTTGAAGACAACTATAAAGTATTACGGGGGGAAACTAAAGACTTAGAAGGTTGGAAAAATTTACAATTATCCATGATGGGAAGAATTGCAATAATAAAAATGAATATATTACCCAGATGGATGTTTCTTTTTCAAACAATCCCCATTTTACAAAACCAAAAGATTTTTAAAGAGCTAGATCAACTAACATCCAAATTTATCTAGCAAGGGAAGCGAGCACAAATAAGACTTAAAATTATGCAAGAAGTTAAAGAGAAAGGTGGATTTGGAGTTCCAAATTGGCTATTATATTATAGGGCCGCAGCATTCGTCTGGCTAAAGGAATGGATTACTTTAAAAGACAGGTGGCTACTGAAACTCGAAGGCCACGACTTAGCTTTAGGATGGAACACATTTTTATGGTATGAGAAAGCCTCAGCACAGAAATGTTTTAAGCAGCACTGGCTAAGAGTGGCTTTATTAAAAGTATGGGATCCAATTTATAGGTTTTATATTAAAAAATTGAGACTCATAGTACCATTGGAAGCATTTACCTTGCCAAATGTCTTTACAGGTGAAGAGCTATTTAGATATCAAGATATTCTTGATGAGAAAGATTGCTTGAAATTGCCAGAACACTTGTCTTGGTGAAATAAAACGCAATTAGAATCTATCTATAATAAAGATAAAAAGACTGGTTTTAATGACAAACTATCTGAATTAGAAAAAACTCTTGTATTTTCGGATGATAAACTGATAAAGAAAATCTATAAAATTGTGTAAGAGGATCTGCTGGTAGATGAAACAGTTAAGCAAAATATGATTCTATGGGCCCAAAACGTAGGTCATAATATTACTTGGAGAGAGTGGGACCAGATATGGTCTAAAAACATTAAAATGACTAAGGCAGTATCATATAAAGAAAATATGTATAAGATGTCTTATAGATGGTATATTACACCAGATAAACTTGCTAAGCAGAATGAAAATTGTTCAGATAAATGTTGGAAATGTAAAAATAAGATAGGTACATTTTATCATATGTGGTGGCTTTGCGATGTAACAAAGAGATATTCAAAAGGAGTTTGATAAAGGTGATAGATATTTGATAGTACACCTATCTATGGCAGCAAGAATATTATATGCAAATCGTCAGCAACAAATGGAAACACCAAAGAAGCAAGAATATGTGAATAAACTGTTGGAGACAGCTGAAAATGACAAACTGTCATCGTTGATGAGAGGGACAACAGACCCAACATTTCAAAAGACGTGGAAAAAACTGTATGACTGGTATAATATAAATGCATAGTTTAAAGTAATGAAATTTTTGGTATTATTAATCTCTTTTAGTTTAATAGAAACTATGGTAAAAAGATAAGAGTATCCAGAAATTTAAGCAAACCTATAGAAAGTGATTTAAGAAAAATTTTAAATATGGTAATAGAGTCATAAGAAAATATACTGATCTCTTTGTATGTCTTATGTATGTAAGTGGTTGTTTATATGTTGTATGTATGTATGTGTATAATATGAAAAATAATAAGTGTACCTATGAGTAGTTAAAAAAAGTCTCCATTAACAATTATTTGTATAGGCTGTAAAGTATAAACTGACTTCACCCATTTTGTAAAGTTCATGCCAAAATTAATATCTTCCAAAACTCTAAATAAAAAAGTCCCGTTCAGATTGTCAAAAGCTTTTTCTGCATCTAGAAAGATTAGTGCTACTTGTTTTTCATTATGTTTTTCTCCTCCCCCCCCCATCCACAAAGTAGCTGGCAGTGTGACTTGGAAGGAGGATTGGTTATTCGCCATCTGCATGTTTTTAATATTGTACGAAGGTTTTAATTAAATTTATCTTGTTTTATCTCTAGTTGTACATCGCCCAGAGTCTTGCAGTAGCAGCGGTGGGGCGCTTCATAAATGTAATAAATAAATAAAAATAAATAAATATTCCAAAATATCTCTTCTAACATTATCCTTCATCTGCCTTTTAGGTAAAAACCCAGTTTGATCTTCATGAATAAATTCTTGCAAAATTATTTTCAATTTTTCCACTAAAATTGTTGTAAACAACCTATAATTATTCAGGAATGAGATATAATTTCTTGAATCTTGTCCCTCTTTGGGTATTAATGCTATATTAGCCTCTTTTCACATCTCTGGCATCTTTCCTCCCTATCAAATAGAATTCATTGTATCTTGTAAAGGTTGTGCAAGTTCATTCTCAAAGCACTTATAATACAATCCTGATAGTCCATCTTGTCCAGGAACCTTTCCTGGTTTAATCTTTTTTATAGCTTCCAGGACTTTTCTTATTGTTATGGATCCATTCATAACTCATATTTGTTCTTTTGTAATCCTAGGTAAAATTTTGTATAAGATATTCATCTGTTTTCTTCAATTGAACTTCATGTCCTTTATATAAATTCAAACTTTATATAAATTTGAATAATATTGATAGGATATTTTTGAATAGCCACATTATCCGTTAATACAATATCTCCCTCTTGTATTTTCAATATCATTGTAATGATTTCATGTTTAACTGTGTATGTGTGTCTTTAAAAGTTTGGTTGCATGGCTGTATGATAGTCTAGAGTGGTTGAAACAGGCAAGTGAGTGTGATTGGTGATTGGCAGAAAGAGGGGAGGGGTTTTAGAAAATGTGTGTCAGTCAAGAGTTACAGTTTAGACAGTTGATAAAGACAGTTAGAGAGAGAGTTAAGTTCTGTGTATGAGAGGAGTGAGACACATCCCTGTGTGGGATAAGTTGGTTCTGAAGTCTGAGAGAGAGACAGTATGGTGTGTGATACAAAAGTTAAGTTTTGTGTATGAAGAAAAGTTTAAAGTATAAGGAAACAAGAAAGTAAAGTTAAAGAGAAAAATAAAAAGTCTGAGTGACAGACGGGAATGAAATAGGAAACCTATATGACCCTGAGTAATGAGTTACATGCCAAAATCCCTGACAGTGTGAGAGAAAAGTGTGAGAAAAACCAGTTGGAATTGTTCAGTATTTACCCATTCATAGATACAGAGTACTATCCTGTTATGTACGAATTATATCAATAAATCTTTTATTTAAGTCTGCCAGCTCTGAAAGACATACTTCCTCAGGAAACACATAGACCCTCATGAAAGCCTTGACCTACCTACCCAGTGATAGAAATATTATATTATAAAGGTTTGGAAAGCCTTAAAATTTCCTGGTGGCAGCCGGATATACACAGTAAAGCAAAACATAAAGAACATTTTAAAGTAAAACCAGACCTCCCCAGTTAAGGGGTCGTCACAATCATTTTCTCTTTCTTTTTGTAATTTATATGCCAACCATTTCCCTGGTTTATTTTTTGTTTCACATAATTAATTTCCATTTCTCTTATTGTTAGCATGGATAATTGTTGCTCTAAAATCATAATTTGTTGATATTTGTATTCCCTGGAAAATTCTTCAATTCTTCTTTTCTTTTAATCTCATCCACAATGTTTTGTGGTTTTTCTTACCTCTTCTTCTTATATTCAAAATTATGTTTTATCAAATGGCCTCTCATAAAGGCCTTACTTGTATCCCAAACCATTTTTAAATCAATGCCTTTGTTTAAATTGATTTCAAAACATTCTTTTAATTTCTTCTTACAGTCCTTAACAATCCTTAACAATTGCTCCTTTTTAACAGGGTTTCATTTAATCTCCATTTAAGGTACTAGATTTTGTTTTATAAACCAACCTCAGAGAGTTATGATCTGAAAAAGTCTTTGGTAAAATATCAACATTAGAGACCTTAGTGGCTAAACATTTGAAATCCAAATCATACTTAATTCATGAAAGAGATCTATGTCTTTCTGAAAAATAAGTATACTCTCTCAGGTTACCGTTCTTCTGTCTCCATATATCAACCTATCCCAAATTATCCATCATGGGGAAAAAAACCTTTAGTAATTTACCTTGAGTGATTTTAATATTTTTCTCAGCAGATCTATCTATTTGTGGAGAGGCCACTCCATTCCAATCCCCTAGCAAACACCAAATTTCATAGGGGAGATCTCTTAATCTATCCATAAGTCATTTATAAAATGTCACTTTATCCTCAGTTGGGAAGTAGATTCCCACACCATAGTCTTAACCAGGGGTCTTTTCGTAGAAAAAGAGCTGCAGGAGCTCATTAGCATGCGGTATGCTAATGAGCTACTAGGCTATTAGCATATGCCATGCCCCCTGACATCACTGGAAGTGATGTCAGAAGAGGAAGCAAAAGGGGGGAGGGATCCAAAAGCCTCCTCTTCCCTTCCCCAGCTGGCCTGGGGGGGGAGCGAAGAGAGAAGGGGTTTAAACTTTAAACCCCTTCTCACTAGCGTTGGGCCACAGAAGGAAAGATGGAATGAAAGAGAGTAGAGAGAAGGAAAGAAGGAAGGAAAGAGGGAAAGTAAGAGAAGGAAAGAAGGAGGGGAAGAAGGAGGGAAACAGGGAAAGGAGGAAAAAAGAAGAGAAGAAGGCGGGAAAGAAAGAAAGAGAGAA